ACACACACACACACACACACACACACACACACACACACACACACACATTAATCTTCTCCAATGTAGAGAGGAACCTCTTGTCCTTTCATGTCTGACTCCCTTGCTGACCCTCTCTGTAGGTGTAGGTGTGTTTTCAACTGGTCCACGTCCAAGCCGAATCACCTGATTTGTCATCCAACAGGCACCGGATGAAAGGGATTCACAGCCTTTGTTTTACCACGCGTAGTGTTTCTGACCAAAGGAAACACAATATGATTATTGTGACATCACCGTTTCTCTGTGAAGGACAGCTTACATAATATCTCTGGATTGTCTGTCCGTTGTTTGGATCTACATCCATTGGCTTCTATAAGATCAAACTCATTTTATGTGCAATGAGGAAGGTTCTCATAAAAAACACTGACTTGACAAGTTGTTAGTGTGTCATAAATATTCATGGTCTCGTGGTGTGCTGCAGCACAACACATCGCCTTCTTGTTATATCACAGATGTTTTGATCCCACGTGTTTCAAAAGAAGTCTGTGAGGGACGTCTTATTCTAGATTCTCCTCAGAAAATAATGAGGCATATAAAAATACAAAAAGAGAAACCGAAAGAGAGAAAGTGGCATCGTGTTTGGATTGTAAATAATACTGCAGTTGTGTGAGAGGAAAGAGGGAGACGGAGAAAAGAAGTAGTGCAGTGAGAGAACGATGGGATTTGTTAGTGAAGGTTCTAACTTGGAGTGAATGAGGATAGAATGATGGCAAAGAGACAGAGGTCAGCCGAAAAGACAGAACGAGAGTGTGATGGAAAAGTAATGGAGGGAAGCTGACAGGGCAAACTGCATGCTGGGTACAGCTCGCTCTCCGTCACTTGCTTCAATATTAACTGTTACTCCAACGAACTGCATGCTGGGTACAGCTCGCTCTCTGTCGCTCGCTACAATATTTATTGCTACACCGCCATATGGCATGCTGGGTACAGCATGCATTTTAAACCCTATACCCAGATTTTCTTAAATGTCTCTGGAACCTAGCATTGACAAGTAGGGCTC